ATTTTTTTATTTTTAAATTTATTTTTACTTAAAAATTTTTTTAATTTAAATTCATTTAGTTAATATATATTGTATTATTAGTTTCAGGGGTAGAATTCAGTGATTCATCAGTTGCATAGAACACCCAGTGCTCATTACATCACATGCCATCCTTTATACCCATCACCCAGTCACCCCATCCCCCCACCCACCTCCCCTCTAGCAACCCTCAGTTTATTTCCTAGAGTTAAGAGTCTCCTATGGTTTGCCTCCCTCTCTGTTTTTCTCTTATTTTATTTTTCCTTCCCTTCCCCTATGTTCATCTGTTTTGTTTCTTAAATTCCACATGAGTGAGATCTTATGATATTTGTCTTTCTCTGACTGACTTATTTCACTTAGCATAATACACTGTAGTTCTTTCTATCCATGTCGTTGCAAACAGCAAGATTTCATTCTTTTTGATGGCTGAGTCATTATTATAATTTATTTTAAAAACAACATTCTTTCTCTCTTTTTTTTTCCCCCACCTTAAATTTTAGGATAACTTTTGGCCCAAATCAGTAAAAACCTGACTTGAACTGATAAGGTATAAAGTTTCTAAATAACTGTCCAAAGCACATGTCATTTTATGGTATCCTTTCCACAAATATACAGTTGTTATTTTGTCATTGCTAGCAGACAAATTGTAGTATTCTTTAGTTGAAAGTAACAGTTAAATGTTAAAAAAATGAACTCAAGACCATGAGTATACTGAAGCACAGCTTCTTGTCCATCAGTATTTATTTATTTATTTATTTTTAGAGAAATGCAGCTATTGCCATGAATCAGAAAGAAAAGAGTCACCACATGGGAAACTTCTTTCTGAAGTTTGAGACTTCTTGAGTTAAAGAAAACTGCTTATATCGTATTGGTTTGGAATTTAAAAGTGGTCATTGTGTCTGATGCCCTATTTTCTCCACAACTGAAAGCCTGAGAGCAGAGAATTGTCTTTGACCTTTTTGAACTTTGGATTTCCTGTTTTGTCACTGATCACACTTCAAGCTCTTGGTGAATGTCTGCTGAGTAAGAAGATAATGCAAATAGGTCCTGTACGCTTGAGGGGTGGGTGGGCAGTCTGGTCACACTGCTCAGCCTTTACACCTGGTGATGCCCACTGGGGGACGATGGGTACTTTATCAGACATTCTCTAGTAATGTACGGATGAAAATTTAAGATTAGATAGAGATATGCACTTTGAAAAGTATCACTGGGTATCAAGATTAGTAGTAGTTTTAAAGGATAGTTTCTCTTATCTAGAGAATATGTGGTAAGTCACATTAATAGAGATCTCGAATTTGTGGTTCAGTAAGAATGTAGGCATTAGGTTAAACTGCCTCTGGAGTTATTTTGTAAGTACTAATTACTTAGTTGAAAATAGTTTAAACTCTAATTACATTGTCATGAAAACGAGAGCATGGTTAAATAATAAATCTTAGTAAAGTAAATAAAAACAGTAAGTTTTTGAACCACCAATAAAATATTTATGTGTTATATTAGGTAGTACAGGCCACTGTTACATATTGAAATGTCTGGCATGTTCGTTTTTTATGTTTCAAGTTTTTACTTAAATTCTAGTTAATTAACATATAGTGTAATACTCATTTCAGGAGTAGAATTCAGTGATTGATCATGAAATGTTTGTTAAACTAATGCTCTTAAAAGTAATTGTTTTGCAAAATCAGTGACATCTAGCTGGACAAGAGAAAAATGTTCCAAAAATATGTTACGTGGTTTAAACTAAAATTTTTTTTAAGATGTTATTTATTTGAGAGAGGGGGTGGGGGGCGAGAGAGAGCATGAGCGGTGGAGGGAGAGGGAGAAGTTGACTCCCCTGCTGAGCAGGGAACCTGATGTGGGGCTCGATCCCAGGACCCTGAGATCATGACTTGGGCCGAAGGCAGATGCTTAACTGACTGAGCCACCCAGGTGTCCCTAAAGTAATTTTGAACAATTTTATGAATTAAAAAAACGAAAGGGCACCTGGGTGGCTCAGTTGGTTAAGCGACTGCCT